TGGAACAGCAAATGGCGCCCAGGCCCCGTGCCCCTGACATGACAGCGCCATGGTGCGCGCTACATCTCCGCGCGCTACAGAGTAGTACTCTAATGTGTATATATTCCACACTTTCTTCATCCATTCTTCCATTGAAGGGCATCTAGGTTGTTTCCAGGTTCTGGCTATTACAAATGATGCTGCTATGAACATAGTTGAACAAATGCTTTTGTAATATGATAGGGCATCTCTTGGGTATATTCCCAAGAATGGTATTGCTGGGTCCTGGGGACCCAAGTGCCTAATTGTGCTTTCCTGGGAATGTTAATTTATAGCTTCCCTGGCACCCTTCATCTGCCCACATAGACATTGGGTATCAGCCTTGTTCCCCTATAGGGAACTGTGTGTTCGCATGCACACATGGCCGATTGTCTAAGTCACATGGAGAAGCTCAGAGTATTAGGTTTGTTAAGACTTCTCTTTCTGAGCAAATCTCCTTCAGGTGTTTCTCACTCAGCGTCCCCCAACTGTGCCCTTTCCCTCAGGTTTTCCAACAGTTTTATTCTCCCATACCACCAAACCCAACAATATTGACTCTTCTCTGCTGTTTATTTGACTCCACATTTTCCCTCTTTCCTTTCCTGTGGGCCTAGCCATCTTCAATCTTTATTTATTTATTTTTTGTATATGCCAGTTTTCTAAATATTGTAGTCACCATGAAATCTATTCTGAAAACTGCATTCTACTGCTAAGAGGCATTGAGATGACATGGCCAACTTCAAACATTTGTAAACTTAGGAAAATTTTAGTGGTGACCACCCCACCCCCAATTCATATATGTAAAAATGTATGACCACCGTGTTTCCAGAATGAAGTTCTTCCCACTCTGGGTATTGGTTAGCTCCCATGTCCTATGTCACAGGCACTTCCGTTGCTATTCTTTTCCAGTCCTTCTCTGAAACACTGATTTTTTTTTCTTCCTTGGACCACCTTTACTGTGCTCATGAAGGCAGCTCCAAGAATAGATTAACACTAGAGCAAGGAAATAGAGAAGGGGCAGTGGGATGGACGGGAGGCTGCATCCCTCTGGGATCTGGAAGGCTCGGCAGAGTCCAGACAGGGCCTCAGTGGAAGCGGTACTTTCTGGCTGGCTTGAGGTTGATGTATGTGGCCTTCATCTCCTCAGCCTCGGGGTTCTGCATGTCTTTGAACCGCTCCCCTTTGGTGCTCACGACTTGGTTGTCAATATATCGGATCAGCTTTTTGGGGGCCTCCTTGGGAGCCATGGGTCGGTGAATCTTCTGGTCCTCTGCACTGTCCACCATCATGTACTTCTGAAGGATGAAGGNCAAGTCCTGACTCGTGCCGTCCCAGCCGGGAGGCCCCTCTTCCTTGCCCTCTGTGAGCATCTGCACTGCTTCTTCCAAGTCCCCCCGAGCTTTGGCCAACACCCACTGGGCCTGCTCCACAGAACAGGTAGGGAATACCTCCAAGAGGACATCTACTCCCGGAAGAAGTTCTTCCTCAGAACCAGCTGCCTCATGCTGGGTGTCCCCAGTAGCAGCAGGAGATCTGGTCTCTTCTCTGAGCTTTTCAGGTTGCCTCAGGGTCTCTTTGTTCCTAGCATCACTCAGCTGCGATGACAGCTGTTGCATCATGTCCTCTATCATGCCCCTGGGGATGTGGGCGAAGCCAGGCACATAAGCCTCCATCATCTCTGTGAAGGCATCCATATCAAAGTTCTCCTCTGAGGGGCCTGAGGGGCCCAGGTCCTCCAGGACCCCCAGCACATAGGAGAAGATGACCTCATCCAAGCCACTGACATCGGCCTCCGAGAGGTGTGTCTGCACAAAGGCAAGGAGGGCGGAACTGACGATGCTCTCCAACTCCATGCTGTCTCTTCTGCTCTGTCAGGCGCCGCCGGCGACTAGTCCCGCGCGGTGCAGTTCTTATCCCCTAGTCCCACCCAACACTGATTTTTTTTAAAGCTCTATTTATGTTCAAGGCTGCCTTTCTAGAGACTGTTGATTTCAAGCTGTTTCTACTGCATGAGTTATGCAAGTGTGAAAATGTTTTCCCCAAAGTCTAGAAATGGAAGCTCCTGTATATTTTTGGTACTCACAATAAAGACAAAGGGTGAAAAAGCAAAGTCAGGAAGTGTCAGTAAAATTCAGATTCCCAGTCAATCACACAATCTTACCCAGGACTGACAAAATTATGCTTTGAGTTTCTGTTATCATCATTTCATTTCTTTCCTTAGATATATATGACATAAAATTATGCAGAACATAGACATAATAATACATAATACCCAAGTAATGTCTATAATGCATAATGAATATTTATTGAGATTTTAGTTTGTCCAGTAAACACAACACACTGACTTGCAGTTGTTCACTGATCTTGGGGAGTTTAAAATGGAAAATAAATAAAAAGTTTATCTCCCATCTTTAAACATAACCTCTCACCTCTATCTCTTCCTTCATGCCCCCCCCCGCCACACACATGTGTAAAAAATATTTAAATGAAACCACAAACCATATGTAAAGCTCTACACAAATAAACCAAAATTTGAGAAATTTCTGAACAGGGAACTAGTGAATTCCCTGTTATCTCTTTAAAGCAAAATGTTTGTTTTTAATTAATTTATTGATATAGAGGCCAAATGAAACAAAATGTCACAGGCAAGATACAGAATAGATTGAAGAGTCTGTTGATTGTTTTCCTAGTTTTTTTTTTTTAACTTCCTTTGTTAAAGAAGAACATGTCCTCTCATACATGATTACGGGGACGGTCATTACCAGTGAGAGAATTAGCATAGGCATGTATCCCGGATATGGATTCTCTGCCCTCTGTCTCGCAGCAGAATATTGTCTCTTCACCTCTCCCCACTCGTCTCTGGGTTAAACAGAGCAAAGCAGGATACGATTTTCCACAAATCATGGAAAGAAAGCTTCTCTTACATTAAAAGAATTGCGTTTTATTATACCATTTATTGCTTATGGCAAAACGTCAGTTGAAATCTCCTTATCAGTGAGGGCTCATGTGGTCGTCTGAATATAACTGATTTCCATTAACTCATAGGGACTGGCACTCTTAGGCACTCTTAGGACCTGTGGCTTTGTAGGGTGGGAATGGCTTTGTTGGAGGACATGTGCCATTGAGGGGTTGGCCTTTGAGGTTTCCTATGCTCAGGATGCTGCCCAGTGTGTCAGTCGACTTTCTGTTGACTTCTGATCAAGATGTAGCACTCTCAGCTCCAGGATCACATCTGTTTGCGTGCTGACACGCTCCCTACCATGAGGATAGTGGGCTGAACCCCTGAAACTCTGAGTCACCCTCACTTAAACTTTTTTTTTTAATAACAATTGCTGTGATCATGGTGTCTTTTCACAGCAATAAAAATCTCAAACTAAGATACCCCATTTGCCAGCAAGTAATGCAATTCTCAGTTAATAGAGCTTTTAAATATAAATCTTAAATATAATAAGATGTAGGACTTTTTAATGTGTGCTCAGTAGTGGTATGAATGGATCATATGGTAGATCTATTCTAGGTTTTTAAGGAACTTTGACACCAACTTCCATAGTGGCTGTACCATTGCACCCCCGATGCCAACAGTGAATTGGAGTTCACCTTTACCTGCATCCTTACCCACCTATGCAGTCACTTATTTTCCTCATCTTAGTCAGTCTGATGGCAGTAAGATGAAACTGTAAAGTAGTTTTAATTTCCATTTCTGTGATGGCTAAAGATATTGAACACTTGTAAAAATATTTCTTTTGAGAAGTCTCTGTTCAATTCCATATATTTTAAAAATTGGGCTCTTAATTTTTTTGGTGTTTAGTTTTTTGAGATTTTTTTTATATTCTAGACAGTAATCCTCTGCCAGACATATAGCTGGCAAAGAGCCCCTGCCCCCTACGCATACACCTTTAGCCCACCTTTCCAGTGGAGTACAGAAGATTTTTAATTCTATGAGGTCCCACTTGTTGCTTCTTGGTCCTAAATCTTGTGTATGACTGGGGTTCAGTTCAGAAAATTTTTAATCTTGTCTCATATCCCTAGGTATACACTCTCTTTTCCTCTAGAAGTTCCAGAGTTTCAGATCTAGCACTGACACCGTGGATATATTTGGAATTGATTTGTGTGAAGCTTGGGAGATAAAATATCAGTAAACCCATAGATAATTCATCTCTCAGTCTTCTTCAGAGAAGCTGTTAGTGCAGGGTACAACAGTTAACAGAAACACACAAGTGACTCAAGTGCAGAGCATAAATGTCCACAGACCGCTCAGCTGTAAGTGGAATATCCGTGTCATACCTCCAGCCTTCGAGGCTTACGGGTTATTCATTGTAGAAAAGGGGAGGGTGGGGGTTGTAAGAGGTAGAGGCTGGGAGAACTGGAGCAAAACAGTGTCTTCTGCAGATAAAAAGAGTTCTGCACTCCTGAATTTATAGCGACTGTGGTTGCCTGCACCAGACCTGTGCAAGATCAAGCCAGCTAACATTTCAGGATGGAGGGAGAAGTGGCTCAACATCCCTCACCCTTGCTGAGGAGCTACTGATGGTTAATGGTTGCTAAGAGAGGAAGAGTCGATTTTCTTTAAGGATGTGGTTTCTGGTGGATTGGTCTTGTTGCAGTAGATGGTTCTACATCCTTGAGTGTATGCTCAGCAAAAGCTGGATTCAGTGGATCCTAATAAAGAAGGTCATGACGTGGGGTGGGGAAATGAAAGATGTGCCTGGATCTAAGAGGAGTTAGGGGGAGGAGTCTGGTAAGCATATGGGGACCTGAGAGGAGGTGGGGGGACGGATCTGGTAAGAATATATGGATCTAAGAGGAGTTAGTGGGAGGAGTCTGGTAAGGATGTGTTATATGCATGTGAAATTCTTAGAAAGTTGATTAAAATATCATATATAATATATAATTTTACCAGCTATATAAAGATACATAATAATATTTAGTCAATGTTAATTGATTTAAATTAATTGATTAATATTAACTAATATTTAAAGGATAGGCTCCTTTCCCAAGAGTTGTTGGGTAATCCAAATTAGATTTAAATGTGTTTCAAAAGACAAAAAAGAAGAAGAAAATTCAAAATTAAGTGGGCAAGGAGGTGAGGATGGAAGGGGTGGACCTGGGAAGAGTTGGGGGAGGGGAGTGGACATAGTCAAAATGTATAACATTTTTCAAAGAATTAATAAAACATTAGGCTAAAGAAAAGGAAAAAGCATTATTACTATCTTAAAAAACTTTTTGTTGATTCTTTGTGAATTTCACGTCATGCATCCTAATCCCACATTCTCCCCATCCCTCCATATCTGCTCTCAAGCCCTTTCAACCTCCCCCCCAAAAGAAAAGAATTAAGAAAAATAAAAAACTTAAAAAATAAAAATCTCACCATGGAAGCTGTGTTGTATCATGGCATGTCACACAGTATACCCTTTTGCCCAAACAACTTTACTTCCAAATGTTCATTGCAATGAGTCATTGGTCTGGTTCGAGGCCTCTGGCATCTGCTACACTATTAGTATTGAATTGTCCCAGCGTCTCCTCTTGGGTATCTTCTTGTTGTCCTGTGACATAGAGATCCTGCAGCTGTGCTTCTACAGCATAGGCCCCTCCATGAGCCCCAGCAACTCATAGATGGAGTAGATTACTACTTTAAAAATATCACTAATTAGTTCCCGAAGTAGTCAGTGTGGGAGTAAGTGGTGCTAGGTTTGGAGATTATGAAGGAGCCAGAAGTTTTCCATGCTCTGCTTTGCTGTCTTCATCTTATCAGTGGATGAGACCCGCAGTTACAGGGCGGCTGCCAAGGAAGCACTGTTGCCTGGCTCCATCACGCTCGATCCAGAGGATGGACTGGAGAAAGGGACTTTTCTAGGTCAGGAAGTCAAAATTCTTGCAACAGATTCCTAGTGTTTTCTTCGAGACTTGTTGGCAAGAACTAGGCAGTATGGCCCCTGCCCTCACAACCCCTTATAAGGTATTATTGACAAACATGAAAGCATCATTGGCAAGGAATAAGATTGCTTTGATGCAAAAGACAGTGCAGAGCCACCCGCTGAGTGAGGTTCAGGATGCTGACATGCGCCTCCCCTGCAGCACTGCCATTTCCTTAGCACAAATGCACATCAAAGTGCTGTTGTGTAATTATATTTGCCAGGTTCCCAGACCGCGACTTCTGTGATGTCTCCCTCAGCCTTGTGTTATACGGCAGTGGGGATCTTTAGGATGTGGGTTTCCTCTTACCCATTGCTCCAATCAGTAATTCTCATGATTATAGCCAGAGAGGCAGATGTTCCTCTATTCTCCTACTTCACTGTTGCGTGGTGTGTCATGTTTGATTAACAACCTTGTATTTCCATGCTTCCTTTGTGGCTTTTAAGTTTTAAGCCTAAGAGGACCTAGGCTCATAATAGGTCTTTGACATCTCTTCGTCCCCTATGGCTGCTGCTTCTGTGTATAAGATTAAAGGGAAAGATGATCCCTTCTTATCTCCTCCAGTTTCTGGATCCAAACACCTCTGCTGGGAATGGCTAGTGGTGTGGAGCATGGGTATTTTCTTCCACCGTTAGACATTCTTGTGGCTTCTCTACCATTTCCAGGAATGCTTAGTCATATGTGTGTGTGTGTATAATTTTTTTCTTTATAGAACTCCCTTTTCAAAAAGGTTTGTCACTATTATTAAAGAACCATTTTAATGTGTTTACTAAAAAGCAATATTTAAAATAAGGAAAGCACATAATTTTTTTTAACTTTTTATTGCTTCTTTGTGGATTTCCCCTTACGCATCCTGATCCCATCCTCTGCTCTCGCAACATCCCCCACAAAACAAAATTTAAAAGCATAAACAAAAATCAAAACCTAAAAACCAAAACAAACAAATAGAAATAATCAACATTGAGGAAGCTGTAGTGTAGCCTAGTGAATCACACAGTTTATCCTTTAG